ACAAGCCGTAAGGAAGGAGGAAAGAGACTAGTGAGTGTGAGAGCCACTGTCCAGGATGAAACATCCAAGATCCATAAATACATCAAGACAAAGCCTCAACGGACGATGTGGTCAGCGAATGTCTCAGACAATGGGGAACAGAGGACGAGGTGCTGGAGGAAACATCATGGGAGGACAAGCCTACCAATGGCTGGAAAAAGATGGACTCAAGGACAGCACAGAGGCCCTCATCCTGGCCACAACATCAGACAAAAAAAATCGAGCTGCTCTGCCCTGTCCCAGTGCAAACTAGAAACAACCAATCAGAACCAGGAGGCGGCCTCCTTAGTGCCTCCTTAGTGCCAGGAGGCGGGTCTTACGCACTGCCAATCATGCCAGTGCGTAAAATGCTCCTCTGTTCCCCCTTGCCATCTCATAATACAGCTTCTCCTTGGCTTTACTGTAATGAGGAGTTGTTTCTCCGCCATTGGCATATTTAGCAGTGTGTCCACAAGAGTGATTGACAGCGTTAAGATCCTCCTCCTTGTCTCTGATTGACCGGGAGAGGTGCAGGAGGAGATTGAACTTTTCACAGACAATCTGTCTCATATTAAACCATCATGACATGGTGACAATTTTAACAAAGAATATATATCTTTTATAAAACGTACATATCTCAGCTTTAAGGGTCTGAGCTCTTTTGCAACGACTTTACTGCAACGTCGTTTTATGTAGGTTTTCACATTTTATTTCTGCTCATAAAAGTTATGACTAGCTGGAGGGTCAGGTTTCATGCTGTATTAGCAAACATATATTACCCATAAATTCTCATTTTCATAGCCGCATGCTGAGCTTTTTTTGAACGATGTCTACGTTTTTTTTTTTTTACATTTGAGCCCGACGTTGTGGATTAGAGCTTCAAATATCCCGCAGCCAGACAGATGGTCTTAATGTGCTGGGCAGGAGTTGCGCAATGCATATTTAAAGTGTTACAAAATATCAGCGCCTGAGTTAGAAAATCTGCTTATTTCAGCGGACAGATGTTCAGACGGTTCAGGAAGTACTTTTGGCCCAGATGAAAACGTAGCTGGTAGCGCTGTTGGTTTGTAGCAAAAAGGCCAAAATAAAAAAAGAAGGTAAAAAAAAGGACTGCTAGGTTGGTCGGCTACTCCAAACTGCCTTTAGGGGGCAGCAGAGGGCAGTGTGTTTTAATGGAAACGTCGGCGCGGATTAGCTGCCCAATTTGAACTGTTCAAATTGGAGGGTGGACAGTGAGCGGCTTCTGAGAAAAGGGTGCAGCTGATGGTGTAACCGCTCATCTCCTTTCCCTCTGAGGTGCATTTATGTAAAGTGACAGAAGGGGACTAGTTCAAGGGATTAGTGGCGCAGCTCCAGGGTAACATGAGTGATGCTGTTAGCGATGCTCCAGCGGCTGAGCACATATTCTGACTTTTTCTTTCTCCCAGTAGGACCCACTGTCTTGATCTGCAGCACATATTTCTTCTTATAGAGATGTGGGATGTGTGTCTTTGTTTCCAGAGAAGATTAGCTCCCCCAGAACAGCTTTTCCTCCTTCAGGACACACACACACACACACACACACACACAGTTATAAAAAGGTTGGTTGCTGTTTCCAAGACACTCACAAATCAGCTGAGAGTGTTCTGGCTCAGGCGCTGGAAATAGATCCCTTCTTCTTCTGACCCAGGAGCTTGTTGCCACATTTGGAGAGGATCCAGCAGCAGCGAGCTAAATTGATTATCAATTGGCTGGAACAGAGCTACGAATAAAGAAAATGCTCTAATCTCCTCGTGATTTGGCTATTCCGCTCGGGTCTGGTTTCCCTGGCTGGCTTTCTGCTTTACGTCCCATGTCGTTTCTCTGTGTGCAATGTCACAGATTTCAGCAAGTCATACTTCAGATTTTTTAAAGACCCTTTAACGCCACATCGAATGAAATTTAAGAGGGAAAAAACTATAGAGGATGGTTGGGGGATCTGGCTGTATTGCAATCAAGAGTAGTAAAAATTGACATTTTTGCTATTTGTTCGTCTGTCTGTTTGTGGCGCTGTTAAGCTGCCAATTTTAACTTTTCATTCAGAAGCATTGTGCTTTTCACACACAGCATATGGCACTCTACAGCCTTAGCCTCTAGTGCCTAGCTTAAAAGTGTTTTTGCTTTGCACTCAGCTAGCCTAGCATGGTTTGGTAACAGTACGTCGATGAAAACGAACGTTGTCCTTAAACGTCGACTTAACCTTAAAGATAAAAACCTAGCTAGCTAGCAAAGCTATATTAGTAGCTAGTTGGCGGTAGCCCCAACCAGCTCCTGTCAGTCACACAACGAACATGTCAGCATGACTCAAACTTTTGCTTGAAAGATAAGAAGCTCAGATAAAAATATACAAAATTAAAAAGTCCCATCACAAAATTGATGTTTAATTTCATTTTGTTGCCAAATTCACCGTTGTGTCTTTGTGCAACGACAATGAAATAAATCCAAGTCTAGAATGTAAGACCTATGATAAACATATTTAAGGCCAAATTGGATTTTGAAATTTCACAAGTTTTGTTTTAAATTTTAGACATATAAATTTAAAGACTTCTTAAGGATGTGCGGACACCGTGAATCAGTGGGGACGATTTGAGTGCCTTGCAACGTTACGGAAAACCTCTCACCAATCTTCACTGAATTTCATTGGAAGGTTTGGCAACAGGCCAACACAAGCAAGAAAGACAAAACCAAACAAAATATCACAAAAATCTGAAAAGTGTGGCATATTTTTGTTTTCAGATTCAAATACTTTGTAAACTGCCATACGTTGCAATTACTGATGCAAGCTTTCAAGGTTCTTTTACCAGCTCATTCAGATGTTGAAATTAATTTGTTTCATTTGGAAAAACAAAATCCTCACAGCATAATACTGCCATCACCATGTCTCACGGTATGTTGAGGGCTTTTCTGATTAGGTGACAGTTTTTTTCCCCTTAGTTGATTTTATTCAGGTAGCTAAATTAAAAAAAAATTATGCAGAAACTTTCTACTTGACAATCGTTTACTGCTTTTAAAATGGTCCGTCAGATAAAAATCACACAAAATTATATTTCTTCACATTCAAACATCTCAAAGCTGCATCTTTACGAACATCCAAGTAAAAACCACACACATGGCCTTTGTTAACCTTTATTGAAACACCCTCCGCACAAAAGACAAAAATCTGAGAAGTGTGGATAGTCACTTAATGGCTGCTAACTGTTTAACTAAGAACAAAAATAGAAAGGTAAATCCCTGCACAATCACAAAAAGAAAAAAAAACAGCAGAGAAAATGTTCATACTGATAAAAAATAAACCTCTGATAGACTTCATGTATTAACCTGTAACAGCTTACAGTCAGGGCTCAAATCAGTAGCGGTTAAGAGCCGAGCCAGTGGAAGGGAAGGTGAGGCGCAGGCGGTGCAGTTTGGGGGGAATGTAGGCTAACTTTGCCCAACATACAACATGAGGTTAGCATTAGCTTGCATTTGGTTAGCATCAACGACAGACAATTCTTTGGTGTTTAGTTGAGACAGAAAAATGCTGAAAAAATTAAAATTAAAATTCTCGGTGGGTTTGCTACAGTGCTATTTTTTTCGTCCCCCCTGTATTTGCATATATGATCATAAGAACAGCTTATTTAAAACATAGGTCTGAATATGCATGGGCTGAATATTTTACATTCTTTTTAATAAGACTCATAAGTTTAGAATAATAATAATAATAAATTGCACTCTCCTCTTTAGGCACCTGCCGTATCGATAAAGCTTTAAGGTTCGTCCTGTGATGGGGGTGAGGTGGGTTCAGTCTCAGATGGGATCGTTTGTGAAATTTTAAAAGAAGCAAAAAAATAAAATAAAATAAATGCTTTCAAAAAGCTAGAGCCAGGGACACGCGCTGGAATGATGCCTCGACATATCGCAGAAAGTCAAAAGGAACCGTCAGTGTGTGCTTACATGTTCAATGTAACAGATTATTAAGCGAAGAAAAAAAAAAATATATATATATATATATATTTATAAATCAACCATACACATTTAAACCCCCTAGCATCGTAGCTTGCATCGTGTACAGCACTGAAAGACACACCAAAGTCTCTTAGAAAAAACGGTTGAAGCCGTCAGACGAGTGGATATGCTGAAACTTCGGAGCAAGTTGTTTATTTCCTCCTTTCGTCCGTGGAGAGAAAATGACTGAAGAAGTGAGGAGGAGGAAGGAGGAAGGAGGGGGAAAAAAAGGCCAAATTAAATGTGACGACTTAGTTCAAGCTGCAGCCCTCCCAGCTAATCCAATCTGCGGATGTCTTCAGGGAGAAAAGCAGCGGCATCACAGAGACCCCTCCACCCGGCGCGACTGCTGTCAGAGGGAAGGCTGAAGACTGGGAGGAGTAGGGGTGTAGAGAGGGAGTGAGGGGGAGGGGGAGGGTGTGGTGTGGGCGAGGGAGGTGAGGGTCACTCTTCATCCGAGCTGCTGTTGTCCAGAGAGTAAGCCATGAAGGCCAGATCGGGTCGGGCTGGTACTATGGGGTTGCCCGGCTTCACCATCTCGAAGCCCATGTAGTGGAAAGTCTTGATGATGACCACTGGAGGGGGAAATGATATCAGGCTTAGTGTCGCCATGGAAACCACCCATACTGGGAAAAACTCGCTAAATCTAATGGATGTTAGTAGAAATGTGTTCCTTTTCCTTCTAATCAGCTGCAAATCGATTATTTTTGACGATTAATCGAATAAAAAAAAATTGGGCACATTCTGCAGAATATTTGTGTAACCACTAAATTTTATTTTATACAATATTAGAAATACATAAGTAAAAAAAAATCCTCTTTTTAAATAATGTTTTTATTACATTATAGCGTGTACTAAAAATATTACATCCTAAAAATTATTTAAAAAAAAGAACAAAGGATTCACATGCAGCCAAACTATATTGTAGTTGAGTAATTTTACAATTAACTGACTAAATATCAGTTCATTTTTTTTCCCTTTACAAAATTTGTTCCAGGTGAAGGCAACACTTGAGAAGTACTTATAGAAAAGGAAAGGTGTTCATCTTAAATGCAAAACGTATAAATGTTTTTTGTAGTTTTAGCTTAATCGCTGCTCTGACTGTGTTCTTTCAGCAAAAAGCCTTTTTTTTTTTTTAAAGAGTCTGAACACTTGAGCAAACGATTAATCAATGACTAAATTAGTTGGTGACTATTTCAAAAGTCGACTAATTGTTTCTTCGCTGTGCCTTCCTTTGTGCCGGCCTCTAAAATAAATGATAACCATTCTGAAATGACGGGAGCTTCTTACTTCGATCCTCTCTGTTTTTGTGGAACCACAGGAAGACGTAGTTAACCTTCAGCTTCTCCTCGGCAAACTCCAGCAGCGCGGTCAGCCTGGAGACAGAAGCATAAGAAGTTGGAGAGCGAGGAAAAGATGGACAGTGAAGACGCATAAAGTCGTTCCCCCCTCCTTTATCCCTCCCCTCTTCTTTTTACATAAGCGATGCAATTTTACATAATGCAGGGCAGCAGCAGAGCGGGCAGCAGGATTGGGTTACAGCTACACACACAGCCAGGAAACACAACGCTACCTGCCAGGAGTCATTTCTGAAACCACTCCCATCAAAGCATTTTGCAAATAGAACCCCAATTCACAGCATTCCCCAGGACGCTCTCAAACGTACCCCTCTTTGCTCCCGTCGGCCAGCGAACCTGCTGGGATCTCCAAAAAGAGGCTGTCCCCTGAGAGCGCCGTGTCCCAGAAGGCCGAACGGCGCTCAGTCAGATGGTAGTGGAAGCGGAGAAGAGAGGGTCTCCCGCCGACTGGGGAGGCCTGCGTCACAGTCAACCTGTCATCCTGCCAGGGGGGGAAACAGCAAGCAGATGGGTTCAGAGTCCAAACCTTCTGATGCAGATTAAGAACGACAAAGAAACTGGCATGGGGGGCTTCAACCGTCACTAATGGAGCGTTTCTGTTGATTATATTTTTTTGATCAGTCGATAACATCAATTATCAGTTTAATCGATTTGTTTAAACACCAGTGCTCTCCTTGGGTTTCCACAGTTCAGAGTGATGTCAGCACAGCAAGGGCGACCATCTTGCTTGACAGCTTCTGTTTGTTGGCGCTTTGAATTCAGGTCAACTCTGCCACACAATCGTAGGGCCAGGAATCTTTATTTTTAATTAGGAGAATGAAGTCATGTTACCAGACTGAAGTCAGAATACTAGAGGGGTAGAGTATTAATTTTATAGGAACTCAAACATGAAAAATGACAAAAAAAATTAAATGAGAAAAGTTGAGAATCTTGTGACGTTACACTTTGATATCAGTTTTCCAGATGATAATCCTTTGACACATCAACATCTAGTTATCAGTGGTGGGAGTTTGAAATGATTGTGTAAACGACTATTTCGAAAGAGTTAGTTGAGTCAGATCCTGATAGCCGAACTTTTTTCTGGTTAAAACAACATTTTTCTCGTTATTTTAAGATGTTTTTTCGGGTATAATTGTGTCTTTTTCTGCAAGTGACAATTTTCTCATAATTAAACAAAACTTATTGCCTGGCCCTAACGCTGCGTCGTATGACTCTCAGATTGAAATAACAGCCACTTTTGGAAAGTATTTTCAAATCTAGTATGAAATACAAACGGGAGATTTTATTGCTCAGTCCTAGTTTCTATATTTTAAGCCCAGACAACTCTGGGAGCTTCAAGATTCAAGATCAAGTTATGGACCAATAGAGACAAGTCATTTCAATGTCAAAGAGGAAGTAGTCGTGATATTTTTAAATGAAGCACAAGAGTGCCTTATCAGCAGTTTTGAAATTTATAACGACAATTATGCGGGATAGGAGACCACTTCTGCCTTCTTTATGTAAAGAAACAGACATAAAACTAGAAAAAAAAAAAAACCTGTCAGAGTGTGAGGTCTGCCTTGGATAACACAGATTCAGATCTTTGTGTCCCGAGCCCGTCGGGGCAGAAAGGGCGGCACGCTCACCGGCGGATGAGGATGGTAATGAAGAGTCTGATCCTAAACCTCTAATCCTCCACAGGCTAGCTGGTCACATGTCAGGATGCAGCTTCAGACCAACACGCCGTTCGCTCGCTGAGCAATCAGTCGTTTGTTTTAATCAGAATGAAATAAAAATTGCTTCCTTTTGTAAAATCCAACTGTGTTCAAATGAAACCAGGTGAGTGAGGCATTAAATCCTGGGATGATGCAGATTCTTTTTTAAGCTAAAAAAATAAATAAAAATGAGAGTAAAGCTCATTACTAATATGTGTTGAGTGCAGCGAGTTATGAAAGCCTCTGACGGATAATGCACTCAGCACAATTATAACGATCATCACCTGAAGAGCTTGAAGTGGATCAGAAAAGCACGTGCAAAACTGTGTAGTTGGTAGAGAAACATTAAAGTCCATACAGACATCTGTCGTTTAGATGTATGTAGGAAACAATAGTAATAATGAGCTTCTCTTTGTTGGATGTTTATTCAGGTCAGATATGCTAAGAAGCTGTAAGTTGGCATTAAAGGGGCGGTATTATGCGTTTTCCAGGCGCATAGTGACATTTTATAGAAAGACAAATAATGTTGCCTTCAGTTATAAAAATTATGTAAATATATATCAAATATGACTTGAAAAAAAATTTAATTCCTGATTTAAATGCATTGAAACTGGGCTTCTGTCTCTTTAAAAACCTTTTTCTGAAACTCCACCTCCAGGAAGTCGTCACAACATGGCTCCTCTATTAACCCTTTAACAACACTGTACCAGCGTTTTATTGAGAAGTAGTTCATATAATGAGCTCACACAGCTCCACGACATGTTTGCTAATTGCTGCTGGCTAGTCTAGAGGAGCCGAATCTGGAGCTCAGAGGAGGAGCTGCGCCTTGAAGGTGGGGCTAGGTCCAACTAAGCGTTTTGCACAGCTGAATGGTTGCCATGGGAGATTAAAGGATTTCTCAAATATGCATGAAAGAATTAAGGCAACTCTCCAGGTATGTTTTTGATGAGGGAATAATAACATGATGTAAAGCTAAAAAAAAAAATAAAATAGTTAATTTTACATGATAGTGGCTCTTTAAAGATGAAATCGTTCATTCTAGTTGCCTCACCTTGTGTATTAGCACGGAGTGAGAGTGATCCCTGACCGTCCCTCGCCCACCCGGGATCTTCAGCTGTGGGTGAGGGGCATCAGGAGCACCACAGAGGCCCTGGAGCCTGAGGGATAGAGCTGGGCTTCAAGGCCCCCGATAACCAGGAACTGCAAAAGAAAACACAAGACGCAGATGAACCACTTCCTGTCTCAGCTGTCTCACAAAGCTATGGACGATGACTTGGTTCCAAGCAAAGCCTTTACATTAAGTAGATTGTAGTATCACAACAGAAGAAAAAACCAGTCACATGCTAAAGCTCCGAGCTAAAACCACAACAGCAGTAAAAAGAAAAACTGAGGATTAATCATAGTACATTGAAATACCTCTAGTGCGAATAAGAAGCTACAAAATGGATGTTAACTTTAGCACTGTGAGAAGTTTCTGTCCCCAAAAAATGATGGACTTGAAGTGTTGGAGCCTGACACAGCAGCTCAGTTTAGTTGAATTTTCAAACAGTGAAACAACTACTTCCCTTTTTTCTGAAGGCATTTATTTTTATTTGTGGGAAAATATGAAAATGACAAATATTGCAATGATGATATTTGCTGTTCTTTGTTTTCTTCAACATGCTTCCTGAACTTCAGTGGTTTAATCACCCACATCTCCATCAGGCGATAAAAGACAGTGGACGTCTTTCAAGATGGCCACTGATAACGCGGCCGTCAAAGCTGGAATACTTTTTGTGGTTTATTCTTCACTGTGACTTCTGGAATATGTTGGTCAATAATATATTGTCAAGATACAGACTAATAATCACAAACAAAACGCATAATAACTATTTGATTACAAGAGGAAGCAAATATTTTGCTCCAACTTTCTGTTAAACTGGTATGAGCAGCACTTCTTAGAAAATAGTGATGTTTTACAACTCTAATAACCTACAACGCTGAAGGAAACAAGTTTCCACTTTATGTCTCAGTTCAGACATAACTGGACATCTGGGACAACAAATATACATTTATGCATTTTGGTCTCCCATCCGTATGAAAACTTGGTTTAATATCACTAAAAATGAATATTTGTAAAATCTCAGACCAAACTGTAGATTTGAGAAAATGCTGTATTTGTGTTTGCATGTGTAAATGGGACAACTGAGAATCAGGCATTACAGCCTGCAACAAATAATACAGCAATAGTTCTTTATGATTCCCAATTACCAGTCATGTGTTTTATTAACTTGATATTCTAACACACCATTTAAAAGTAGTTCAAATAAACCCTGCAGTGCCATGTTTTATCCCCAAAAGGAAATCGTGGTTGTTTTTGAAGCACTCCGATTGGCTGACCTAGATTTTAGCTTTGCTCTACACTGCCCCCTATGGGTTTGGTATGTTTAAAACAACACCAAGGGGTGGATTTGTGTAGGTTCATGTGGACAAAATCTTTTCTGAAAGTGATCCTGTGTCTGTGTGTGTGTGTGTGTGTGTGTGTGTGTAAACAATTTGAGGGAAATATTTGTTTTTATAAAGACAGCCATTTGTGAATATGACCTTAGATGATGCGAGATAACTACCAAGTATAAGACCAAACAGGAAAAACCTGTCCCAAGAGGAATACCATCTTCTGATTTGCAAAGTCTTATTCTGTCAATTAAATTTTAAAGAAAGTTTTATTTCTTACTTACTACGTTTTGACAGTTCAAAAAAAGCAACATTTTACCCAAATCCAAGATTTCTCCATTAAAAGTAGCTTACATGTCTAAAGTTCAGGGTTATGTCTTGTACATAGTTTCAAGTAGTTCTTACCCAACCAATTACAGAACATTTTTTTGCAAACAATGATGTAATGTACACAAATCGCTTAATTTTTTTGTCGCGGGTTTCAGTCCACCGACTCTTGCTCTCTCAGATTGTTTGTTTATAAGGAGCCTGGTAGACATGAAAGACTAGGATTTATTATGACTGCATTTCAAAGAGGTCCAAATGGCCCGTGCATGCGCTGGGAGGCACGTATCAGAAACGAGCGCCTGATCTGTAAACACCTCTGTAAATAGCTTTGTGGGCCTTTTGGGAACACCTCCGCGTTTTGAGTTTCAGACGGTGGCTGGAAGCAGCCGGGCCGTGGCATCTTCACTGCATCATCACAGATGCTCTGCATGTTGTGGATTAAACTGTAATCGTTCAACACAAACTCTGTCAGCAACAAGCCGCCTGACTCTATTCTGCGTCTCACTTTCCAAGTCACGTTCCAGAGAGGAGCATCTCTACTTTCTGTGAGACTGAGGAAAGGAGGCGTGGCCTCAGTCTCCCCCGCCGACCGGGTTGGTAACCTGGACGACCTGAACAGCACAAACCAGCAGAGTGTGCAATGGAAAAACGAGGCTTTCAAATTAGGGCTGACTTTGATCCCTTTTTAATTGCTGAGAATAGACAGCATATATTTTCAGTTTTTAATAGAATCGAAAATAGAAAACATTTTCATATTTTATCAAGCTACAAACTCCAATTTCTGTGTATTTCATTGGAATGTGACCAAATTAAATTTTTTTATTTTTGTTTCCAGGAACGTTCGGTGTGGTGTGAATTATGACTCACGTCTACAAAACCAGAACTTCATAAAACCACATCTGGATGTCTGTAGAGGCCTCTCTACAGACATCCAGAGTTTATAGCAAAACAAGGTTAGCTTTACAAGCTCATCTTTTAAAACATTGCCACATATTGTCAATTGTATTCATGTCTGGACTTTGACTCGGGTCTTTAGAATGCATGAATGCACCATGACATCAATCCGTTCCACTGTTGCTCCGGCTGTTTGTTTAGGGGCGTTAGAATAAAGGGGGTTGAATATAATAGCAAGTCATACTTCCACTTTGCATAATACATGCCACCAACTAAAACAACAAAGGTCAAGGGGTATTAGAGTGCGCCATGAGGCATTCCTCTACATCTCAACAGCCAAACTGATATCAGGGACACCAGTGACAAGAGGCACAACTCAGATGGATGAAGCCACCCAAGAGCTCGCCAAGATGTCCAGACCTACTTCTCCGGTTCCATCTTCACTTTCAGGGACGGAGACCGTCCTTGATGGAAATGCCAGGTTGTTTTGAAAGGCAAAACTCTCGTCGTCCTCTGACATTTCTGTCACACTCTTAGGAACCCATCCCCACCCTCCTATAGCGGCTGCAGACATCAGCCGCCGCCCCGCCGCACTCAGTGCGAGACTCTAAAAACGGAATGTGGGTTACATATTCAAGTCTGACTTATGGAGCTACAGGCTGTACCGTTGTGAAGGCCAAGCACATTCACAAGCTGCATTAATATGCCAGTGAGGATTTAATCAGCTGTGTGTTGGGAGTTGAGACTGAGAGATGCCAAGTGCGTCACAGTCTCGTTGTGCAAGGGGGGAGGAGGGAGAGGGGCGGATGCCTCCACTGCTGGGCTGTTCTTCCTAAAGAAGAGATTTTTTTATGAGCTCTGATTAAAGTCGGATCGTTTCGGAGTGTGAATGGCGAGGCGGACAGTGTAGAGCCGGGCATGGGGTTCAAACACGAAGACAAAACATTAATGACGTGTTCATTGGAGGAAGGGAAGGACCTAGGTGCACGAGACCGAACGTCGACTGGTTTGCAAACAGAAACAATTTGACGTTTCCGGACGGTGCTTTGGATTTAGCACAAATGACAAAAGGTGGCGCACACAGGAAAGAAAACAGAGACTGAAGCGGACCTTCTCCATTCCACGGACAGAGACCCATGCAGCGTGACGGAAAAGACACAGAGACAGAAACAGGAAAGGTACACGTGCTGTGAAACCTGAGCATGGATGGACGTATTCCTGTCAAAACACATGACTCTGACCCCTGGGCACACCTTGGCGGCGCTCGACTGGTCAGACACAAACAAGTCGACTGAAATGCCCCATCATCTGGAACTCAACTACACAATCATACTACTACCCCTTCAACATTTTGTACAATTGACTCGAATTTGTCTTTTATCAGCTTTTGATGCATTTGTCCATCTTTCTTTGTGTAACAGCTCCAGCAAAGTTAAACTGGATGGAGCAAAACAGAAGCGCTGGCTGTATGGTTTCAGTCGTCAACCAGAGAGTTTCAATAAGAATATTGTGGTGAGAAACGCCACCAACTCCATGTTACAGCAGGACTAAAACGGGCGTGGTTGTCCAACCAAAGCCGCAACAAAAAAACTGAGAAAAAATAAAGAAATTTTAATGACTTCTTGTACTTTTTATTAATTATACTGTTTTTGACAAAATTGTAAAGCTAACCTTGTTTTGCTATAAACTTTGTTTTTTTGTCTTTAGCAAGATAAATTTCATCTGTTGTCCTGGGACAACAGATGAAAAAGTGGCCAGACAGTCAATTCTAGTACATTTACAGAAACATTAATTTATGTGCTCCGCCTCCGTCAAATGAATAAGGACATTTTGAGTTTCAACATAGTGTTCCGAATAGCGGTGGGTATTTATCGTAAAAAATTTCTTATAAGAATTTTGATTAATTGCTGCCATGATCAATTTAATGGTAATAAAACCCCCACAACTGACAATATGATTAGAAATGTCATTTTTGCCATTCTCTCCATTGTTTGTTCCACAAGAGCATCTTTAAATATCAGTCAATTCAAAAATATGATTAAATCCAGTTACTGTGCGCAGTTTAGTCAAACAAATTGCATCTTTTTTAAACAAGCTGAATCTTGAAGATGTTTTTCCAAGAACAATATTTGTGTTTGTGGTGCTGTTAATGCCGTGTCATCCAGTCACAGTCATCTAAAAATGTAATAGTTTTTTTTCCCCATCTTTATTAGCACCATAATATATTACAATAAAATTCCATATTTCCCACTCCTAGTTCTGACTATAAAGCCAAGTGATTAGAGGATTCTCCAGAGGAAGACGGCATTCTGCATCCAGAACACTGATCTCCGACCACGCAGATTAACATCTCAAGACTGGTGATTCCAGAGTCAGACGTCAGCAGAAACTGCTCGGCACAGTTGACGTCCATGTGCCCTGATGGAAAATTCAATCCTGAATCTCCCGGCAACGGCCGAGGCGCTCCATCTGCCAGTGAATTAGAGGGACACCAACTAGCACTCAGGTAGCCCAGGACAGAACATTTATCCTGCCCAGCGTGTGACGAGCCCCAGCACTGGTCCCTTCAACACACACATTCCAGTGATGGTTTGAAAGGTGACCCGTCAGAAAGAGCGGGGTTATATAACCAGCTGATGTAGGCCAGTAGCTGCCTTCAGCAGACAGGGTCACAGCAGCGGAGCAAATATAGTTGCAGCATCAATTTATCTTCTCCACGCTCCTCACTGCAGGTCAGGACATTGACCCATAGAGGACAAAAATAAGACTCCTGTCTTGGAGTGCAGAAAAAAAAAAACAGGCTACAATTCAATGTGTTTATTCATCTTAAATTGACAAGGATTTGTTTCCATGACTGAAAGGAGCTACAAGCCAACGTATTAAAAAGACAAACGCTGTGCAACACTAGCTGGTTTCCATTACAAATGTACAAAGAACATTGTCGGTATTCCACCAATGTTGAAAAGACGCAATTTTGCAATTGCGGCGTCTCCATTAAATAAGAAATGCAATTAAAAATCACATGTGAATAAGTTTATTCATCCGGTAATTCATGAACAAACTCAAGATTCATCATGAGTTGGAGTGTCATGCGGCGCCATGATTCTCCAAGTACTTGCTGTCGGTTGGTTTGAGCCAGTGGCAACATCCAGTTGTTGATCACGTGACTTCTGAAAAAAGTGTTTCCATGGTAGTTTTGCAAAAATAAACCAATTCTGAGATGGTCTAAAAACCCATCTCACCCAAGCACCAAAACCTTTTAACGAGAGTTTTTTTTTCTTAATTGCAGTGTTTTCATTGAATGAATTTATTTCAAAATGTCAAATTGCATGGTGAATGGAAACACAGGCAGTCACGCATTAAAGCATAACACCTCAGAGTTTGAGTGATACGAGTCATGTTGCTACAAATGACTCAGCCACAGTGCAGGACTGGTACAAGTCTGAACCTATACCAAATTTGATTACAGTCTGCCCACGAGATTACGTTGAGGATATCATCTTTCAACTGCTGGAGTACCTTTGTGCAAAGTCCGGTAACAAAATGCCAGAACCAGTGATTTTAGACATCCATGTCTGAACCTCCCATACACCACAAAGATGTTCTTCTTTCAAATCAAAAGCCCAATTCAGTGAACTACAAAAGTTCTGCTTCTCATCATTCTAAACAGCTAATTCCAGGAAAAGGTTTTGGTCACCTTCACCTTTTTCCAGCACCAGTAATGTTTCAAAATAAGTCAATGAAAGAAGAGGGAATACTTTCAATGACATGCCTGCGGTTTGTTCAGACCGACAGCTTAAGAGCGCAAGACTTCAGCAGATAACAGGAAGTAAAGATCTGTCGCGTCCTTTTGAGCTTTGAGCTTCCGTCTCCCATGGAACATTCAGAATTTGGGAATGCTGGTCGAATTTTGTAATTTCTCAAGTAATTCTTTTGTGGGAAGGAATTACAAATGGATACTGCCTATATAAAATGTCAAATCTAATTTGGTCTTTTTGTTTCTAATTTTGCACACCGTGACTCGTCTTTAACTCATTTGAAAGTAACTTCTGACCACATAGAGCAGAAAGATTACAAAGAAATTATCAATGCTGTTCTTTTTCTTCTTACGTCTCTTGCAGAGATTTTTGAATGAGCTACAATCTGAAGCAGCGGCTAAAAGTTTCGGGAATTCTTTTTTTTTTTTAAACATCCGACATCGGCCACAAAATTCTAGTAGGTACGCTGCTAAGTCACTCGATTTTTGGGGTCCAGTTTCAGTAACAAAGTTTTTTTTCTTCTCATTTATATACATGCATGTTGTGTTAAGAAATGAGTTGATGAATTAGAAAAAGTTAACCACCGTAGAGTTGGGCATCAGGGTAAAACGGGAGAGAAACGAGGAAAGCTGCTGCTGTATTTTATAAATCACCTAAAACTACTACAACTTGAGACAAAACTAGAAAGCGTTGCAATCTGGTTCAGAGCTTTTTCTTTCGACCAAACACCAAACTGAAAACTAAAAAACTAGATCGCCACTTCTATTCATTTCTGTTGGTGAAATTGTAAAAAAAGAAAAAGGAGTTCCTTCCTCCTCGGACTTTAACTAGCTTCTTTGTGAACAGTGCCTCCAACTATTTGTCGATTTTTAGCCTGTTTACTTTGAGAGCAACAAACAAGTTCAACAATTTAATAGTTTCCTTAGAAGTAAATACGACAAAAAAAACCCTGCGTTGACACGGTCAAAAACAGTCACCAACAGCGGTTAACCTATCGGCACATATTTCAGTGAAGAAAAAAAAAAACAGCGAACAACTTCCTACCTTTCCTCTGTGTTCAGCATGATAGCTTCGAGGAAACTCGGCTCTTTAGGTCCTTTTTGACAACCAGAACGGCTAATGTTCAGCAGGAAGTCCACAGATAAGTTAACCATCCGCAAGTTGAAGCAAACCCCGTCGGTAGTTCAGTGTTGGTGTCGCTTGTTTACATGAAGGGACAACACACCTTACTTCCCTCAGCTGTTCGTCCAGTCTAGCGAGCAGCGCAGGAGCACTGGCTTTTAAAGCTGCAGCAAGGCATCATGGGTAATCCAGCTCGGGCTGTTTTTTTGTTGTTGTTGTTGTTTGGTTGGGGTTTTTTTTGGCTTCCAGGAAATCAAAACTTACAGTAAAAGATTAATTTCGTTTCAACTGCCTCAAAACAGTTGGTGTCAACAGTTACCTCTTTTTTTAATCATTTGTGCAAAAAACAAGGAATAAATAAATGATAGGGAGGTAGTTTGTTTGTGTGTGTTTTTTTTTTTTTGCTGAGAGTTTTATCGCAAAGTTTACAAGCAGTTACAAGCAGTTTCAGCCTTTGGCCCACAAAATAAAAATGGAAGAGGCTAGTGACCCTGACTATTGCTTGAGCATGCAAGTACTTTTACTGAGTCAGATAAAAAAAGTGGCACAATGGCAACACAATCAGCATCAACAGCAAATTTATTGACCAATATATTTATTATTTTCAAATCCTGTCTATTTGTATGTTGCACTTAAAAAATGCATAGGCTTTCTTATCACTATTTTTATGTATGTAGGTTATTTTCTGGACCCCAGCTTTGGGAACACAGAAGAAAGAAGGATAAATTGAGACTTTTAAGATTTGGAACATTGATGAGCATGGTGGTGGCAGCATCATGCTGTTAGGCTGCTTCACTCCCAGGATGTGTTTTGCAAAATGAATGCTACACTGACACTAAAGCACTGTGCTTCATACAAACTAAATATTATAGGTGGTGTGTGTGATTATTATGCCTTGGATGTATAATTTTTACTAATGTTAATTAGAGATAATCTAATGTCAAACATCAGATGTGAACTTGTTCTTTCAGAAAAATTTGTAATTTAAGGCTAAAGATGTATTAAACTTAAGCCAAGAGTTGTGGATGTTTTCTGCATATAAATTTTCCTGATGGTTATCTTGAGATCACAATGTGATTTGTGTGTGTACTAAATGAGATTTAGCGCACACACACACACACACACGCACACACACGCACACACACACACGCAGATACACACACACACACCAATTGTTGAGATTAACTTGGTCACTTCAGAAACTCATTGGGAAATTAACTTATCTTGAGAAAACCATCAGGAAATGAAAGTTTCAAGAGTCAAAATGTCCGAGTTGTTTCTCAAAAATTTCTGAGTTTACTCTAAAAATTTCATGCTCAGAAATTTCCTTGTTTGTTGTGAGTTTTAAAAAAAAATTCTGAAATTAACCTGAAAATTTTTGTTTTTCCTAACAGATTTTTGACCTTTCAAACTCAGAAACTTCATTGTTGTTGTTTTTTTTTTCTAAAAAAATAAAATAAAGATAAATTCTGAGCTCAATTTAAATAATTTTCGAGTTTTGTGGCAAAAAAGGAAAATTTACTCTTTTTTTTAACAGTGGCTCTAGTACACCATCGTAGAATATAAATGTACTCCAAAAAAAAAAACTTTTCAGACTTTAAATTTTTTTTAGGACAACAGAAAGTTAGAAGAATTATTTCAAAACTTTATATTTTTATCTGCACTGACCCCATAAGGCCTCTCATTAAACCTGCTGTCAGTCTCATTAACGTCCCACTTGAGCTGCTGCTGATTAAATCAATTCGTGAAGAGCGACCAAAGGTCTGCTGCCGTTCACATGTTCACCGCCTCGTCCTCCCTGACAGGCCGAGGCGGCCGGCCGGGTCACCGGCCTGCGCCGCTTTCAGCCTCGTCAGGGCGACGCGTTGAAACGCGAGAGACGGTTTGGTTTTCAGATGGCTTCTCCTTCAGCTGCTGCTGTGCAGTTTGGGTGTAGGACAGTTTGTCCTGAAAACAAAGATGATCAGCTTTCACCTGAGATTGGGCTCAGGTTCTGATTACCCACAGAGGAAAGCAGCGAATCTGTGCCGCATGCGTTCTTCCCTGGACAGAGGTCTGTCTGTATTTATTTCGCCACACTTCACAGTTAACTCACAACAGTGTGCAACTTCAACATGAGTGCCTTTGTCTGAGTGAACAGTAGCTGTATTTCCATTAATCGTAGAAATGAGCAAATTGAAATTATGAATTTGCTTAATGGAAACACGCCAATTACTGAAACGTTTTTGCCGTATTAACCTGTTGTTCACAGGTTGTCATTCACAATGACAGGGGTGTCAAACTCCAGTCCTCAAAGGCCGCTGTCCTGCAGTGTTTAGATGTGCCACAGGTAAAAAACAGTGGAATGAAATGGCTTAATTACCTCCTCCCTGTGTAGATCGGTTCTCTTGAGCCTTGCTAATGACCTAATTATTCTTTTCAGGTGTGGTGCAGCAGAGGCACATCTAAAAGTTGCAGGACAGAGGCCCTTGAGGACTGGAGTTTGACACCTCTGTCACGAGAGGACCCAAATTTGGGTCCTCTCGTGAATAACAGGTTAAAATAGCTGTAATTTTGCAAAACTACAATGGAAACACTTTTTTTGCAACACACAAGTCACGTGATCAACTGCCAGACTTACTACTGGCAGAGAATACAAAGAAGAAAACAACAGGAAGTAGTTGGAGGACGATGGTTTATTTTGCCTGTGATGTAAAAAAACAAAACAAACCGAAAGCACTTAGCTGCCACTATATGCAGACAGAGTGCAATATTTTAAAATGTATAAAGAAAGCGCATCGTTTTTTTAACTACTCACATTTATTGAGTGAATTAAAGAAACAATAAAATGAGAATGAAAATATACTTCACACTTAAAATTGCATTCTGTTGAAAATGGATTTTCATCATATATTCCACCATCCTGATGGCTCAGACATTCAATCTAAATCTCCTTTGATAAAAGTGCAGAGATAGCACCAACTAAATATGAAAATAACTAAAAATGAAGGGCCTCTGTCTCTTTAAGAAGCTCCTGCTCTTTCTGAAGCTCCGTCTTCAGGAAGTCATCGCAGCATGGCTCCTCTATCAACCCTTTATTAATAGAGGGTTAATAAACACGCCAGTGTTTCACTCTACGTGAAACACCGGTGTGTTTCATGTAGAGTGATCTCAGCTGACACGCAGTTCTGCCAGGTGTTTGCTAATTGCTGCTGGCTAGTCTGAAGGAACTGAGTGGGGGAGTGAGTTGCAGAGGAGATGGGGCTCAGTTCACCTGGCGTTTTTCACTACTGCCATGAGAGACTCAAGGATTTCTCAAACATGAATGAAAGAATCAAAGCAATACACTAGATATGTTTTTGATGGTGTGTGAATAACATTATAACATGATGTAAAGCTCAAAAAAAGTCAATATTACACAATACTGTCCCTTTAAGAGACACTAGTGTTGGGGAGTCAGTTGGATTTGTATCTTTAGAGATACTTCCTTTGATTATTCACTCCTTTGGGAAGGTTTATAACTTGAAATCTCAATGAAATTACATTGAAATTTGTGGTTGTAAAATGTGCAAAAGTGAAAAACGTTTCCGAAGTACTGGATTTTTTTTTTTTTTTTTTTTTTTTTTCCAGAGTAGGCGTTGCTGCTGGTTTTTCCATCATAATTTTTTAAAGTCAATGATGTTATGAGGCTTTGGTTTCTTTAATTAACCTTAAAGGTTAATTAAAGTCTGGCTGCCGAGGGAGCTTCTGGAACGGTTTCCACTCTGAAAAAAATAAAATAAATTAAAACTTGCTGTGATATATTTGGAAACGTTCAGGAAGCTCGTGTGTCGTTGAATGGGGCTTGCCGTGGAGAATCAATATTAACAGCCGACCTGTTTTGGATTGTCGTCGGCCACATCTGCTTAATGATCATTTATACTTCCTCCAAAATCCAATCAGTACTTCCACTTCAGGCTCCTTCTGATCCTTCAGCCCGATCGTTTGGTGTGGCGCATCCTCTCATTACGGGAGCAAATCCTGTAATCAGACTTAGCCATTTTGCTAATGTTGCTGCAGATCATTCGCAAAAGGGGCAGACATCTTCTTGTTTTGAATGCAGATGCGTCTCTGTAGCTCGTTTCTCATCAATTCTGATGCGGTGTTTGGGTTTGAAGTGGTGAGTTTGTGACAACTCTGTAAAATCCACGGTCAGTGCTGTGATTGAGACACACTCAGCAGGTGTGGTGCTACGTTACATCACAAAGGTAGCTGTTCCACGAAGGCCAGCGGGCGGTAATGACCCCCTCATGCCCCGCGTCCATTTGCTCGGCCAGGCAAGCTGGACCTCTAGCACACACACACACACACACACACACACACACACACACACACACACACACACACACACACACACGGCAATGTGTGTGACGGGATCAAGTAGCCAGGCTGCTATCTTGTTACAAATCCAATAATCTGCCTGGTGCTGGCGCTCTTTTCCATTCTTCCTTATGTAACTGGGTCTATGTTCGGATCCCGGCTGAGAGTCGGAGCCAAGCTGGGCGCAGTCAAGGACAGACAGACAGACATTTCAGGAGGCAGAACAAGACTTTTCTTTGAAAATCTCTTCTTTACTCAATCATATTTGTTGTGTTTGGGGATCATATGTGGGCAGTATTTTGTATTTTCCAGGCACATAGTGCAATTTTATAGCATAATCGAGGAGCTATGCTACCTTCAGTTATAGAAATGTTATATATAGAAAATATGACTTAAAAGAAATCTGACTTAAAATTTCGTTTAACATTGCATTGAAATTGGGCCTCTGTCTCTTTAAGAAAGTCTTGCTCTTTCTGAAACGCCACCTTCAGGAAGTCATCACAACATGGCTCCTCTTTTCCTTAAATGTTTTTAGCAAAGTTTCACTGAGAAGCAGCTCCTTATCCGCAGTTCTACCAGGTGGTTGCTAATTGCTGCTGGCTAGTCCGAAGGAGTTAGGGAGGGCTGCTTTGTGAGACGGAAGTTTGGAAACTGAAGCTTTTGACCTTGAAGGTCTTTGAAGGTGGAACTAGGTCCACCCAGGTGCTTTGCACGGCTGAATGGTTGCCATGGAGATTAAGGATTTTTTTTTTCAAACATGAATGAAAGAATCAAGGCAACACCCCAGGTTTGTTTTTGATGAGGGAAT